AATTGGAAATCCAATAGATCATTATTAAATCGTTCATTCTGTGCAAAAATTTTCGAAAATGACTAAAAACGAAGGAGATACCATATGGTATGGAGTTGGTAACGAGAGGTATGAATTTTTTTTCTCAAAAAATATTGAAAATGGATATCATTTTGTAGAGCACAACAAACTTGTTCTATCTGTGAAAAAAAAAATTGAAATCCGAGTTAGAATGAAGAAGATATGATCCAATTAGAGCACTTCTACTATGTTATATAGCATTGGTGCTTTAATGTACAACTTGAAGTTGTACCAGAAAATTAAATGTATAAGTTTAGGTTGTACCATAAAGCAATTTGTATCATTATGTTATGATACAACTTTAAAACTTGAAGTTGTACCATCACATAAAGGTACAAGTAATTGTACCATAAAAGAATTTGTGCAAAAAGTATAGGTACAATATGAAGTTGTACCATAACGTTAAAGGTACAATTTCAAGTTATACCATAAAGACAAAAACCTATAGCACCCATATAGCATTGTAAAATTCCTCTTCCAATCAAGAAAACTAGGGAAAATAAATTTCTTTAATTCTCCACCCTTAGATCTGCAGCCACTTAAAAGAAGGGTCCAGATTTGGTTACTCATAGTTATGCACTCTAAAGTTATGCACCCTATCTTGAGCCTCTACACACATACCAATAGCATACTCTCTTTCAAATAAAATAGTTAAGCAATTGCCGAGAAACTCATTGCTCATTTAGTTGTGCAAATCAGTTATCACACGTTTCATTGTTGAAAAGGTTCTCTACATAGTAGTCGTTAAAACAGGCAACGGCAAGACTAGACAAAATCAATCAACTAATCAATTGTATTGTGTGTCCATCCCTTTATCTACTAGCTATTCTATTAACTTTTTAAGGGAACAAACTTCGTATTTCTTTTAGTCTTTTAGGTTTCATTATTTATTTTTTAGACGAAAATCAATGAAGCTAAAAAATTTAGGCTAAATTTATAGTAGTGATCTGAATAGGTTTCATTATTTAATTTTTTTGTTACACGAAATTTTATTATAAAATAAAACTAAATCGAATAACTAAAATCGAAAAATTTATAAGAGTTATACTATCTTCGAACTCAAAGAAGGGTTGGGCCGTGGCAGCCTGGCAGGGTGGATCCGCCGCTGGTGTGGTATTATTTTATGGTACCCTATGACTTCTCTGGGTGATACCGAGTACCCACCATATCATTTTGATGTGCACTACCCACCATATGACAAACCATATGCATGCATGTCATGATGTCAATTATTAATAGTCAAAACCCAGGTAGGTAACTAATTTGTTGAGCGAGAACGAAAGGGCTATAGTGTGTATTTTTAGTATTTTAATTTATTATTTTTCTAAGAATAAAAAATAAGTGTACGATGCGAAAATTAATATCACTTTTGGCAAAGACTAGAAAGTAGAAACTTAAGTGAATGAAATTTTTCATACGAAGTAAAAAGTACAAAATTTTGGTATATCGTGTTCCTTCTTCCCATCTCATGTTTTAGTATGTCTCTCCAAGGGTCATAAACCAATTGGTTGAGTTATTAAGATAGTTTCATGTATGGATGTTGACCACTTTTTTACGTTAAAAAAACTTGCTTTCTCCCAATTACCGGACTTTCCAACTCAAAAGAAGATTAAAATTTAGGAGAAGCCCAAAACCTATTAGATCATCCATGATAAAAGAAGAAAAATTAAGATATTCTTACATGGAGATGAGTAGAGGTCACAATTCCCAATTCAATCCAATCCATCCACTTAATACCCAACTAATCCAATTCATTTGATCCAAATCCAATTGGATTGGTGGATTCATGGTTTAATCTAAAACTGACTATTTGGTCTGGATTTTTTAGTATAACCGGAAACCGGACTGTATAACCAGGACCATTTAAGACTGAGATCATATGTAAAACAATCCAATCCCGTCTTTGGTCCCAAAATTAGCAAAAAAACTCGGACCAATCCAGTCTGTATTAAAATCATGGCAAAACTGAAAAACCAGATAACTCAAAAATAGGTCAGTCAGCCAAGCCCCCCCAAACCCAGGTAAAGCCCATTAGGGCCCAGATGAGTCTACTGAGCAGGCCATGCCCACTTCCCACCCAGTGCCCCAGGCCCCACCCTTCGTCCGCCAATCCCTTATGTTTTGTAGGGTTTGCACTTCGGCCTTCGTAGCGGCAGCGCCTCTAGGCTCCAACTCCAATCCATTTCTCATTTCCCCCTCGTAATCGTCTCACGATGCAAAGATGGACGACAGGCAGATGGTAGGTGCGAACTCCGGCCTCCGTCCGACCCAGCGACCAAGACGTCGTCGTTAGCTCTGACCTAGTGGCCCTGACGCGACACGACGCCGACCTCTACTCCCACCTAGCTACCCTGACGCAACACGACGACGACCTCCTCTCCGACCCAGGGACCGGACGCGACTCGACGCTTGCCTCCGTATTAACCTAGCGACCCCGACTCGAGTCCAGCCTCATCTTTTGCAGCAGGGGAGAAATGGTCAAATTCGGATTGGGACCAGACCGTGTCAAGACCAGACTATAGCCAATCCAATCATTGGTCCTCATATTTCCAAAATAACCCGACTAGCACCGGTCAATCCGAGCCAGTTTAACCGGACTAGACCAGAATGCCACCACTATTTTGATCCATGAATCCAAATGACAAATTATGATTTAGTACCTATACTTTTTATATTTTATATTTTGGTACAAATTTATTTTATACAAAAAATATCATTGTAAAATTACGTTGGTACCTAAAAACTTTATTATAACAATTTAGTATCTAAACTTTTCAAAATTTACATTTTGGCCCAAGGCTTGGATGTTATTTGGATCCATAGATCAATCCACTAATCCATATGATCCAATCTATTAATCCACCAATGCACTTGACCATGGATCCACCAAACCATGGATCCACATATAGGTGGTATTACTTGTTCATAAAAGTTTAATAAAGTTAATTTATTATACTATATAAGAAATTCCAATTATAATAAAGACCTAATCAGATCTCTTTTATCTTTATACATATTTGATTTTTCTCCAACAATTCTGAAATTGTCTAGCAACAGAGGCAATTCAACTATAACTCGTGATTTAACACTCAAAAGCGGGAGCTTTAGACACAAACTACGAATTACAAACCATGAATTGTGGGTTAATTGCATGGTTGGTCACTGAGATTACAAAAAACGTTCAAGTTTGGTCACTCGAAATATTTAAATCCATTGGTGGTAGGTACTTCAGTTTACTAAAATCGTTCACGTTTGGTCACTCTCCGTCCAACTTCGTTAACTTTTGCTTACGTGGCGGTCAACTCCGTTAACTTTTGTTGACGTGGCAATTTAAAAATAATAAATTACATTTTTTAGAATTGTCATCTCATTTTCACCTCATTATCACTTATTTTAAAATAAATAAAAAAACTCTAATTTCTTCTAATCCCTAATACCAATACCCGACCTCTCTTAGGACACCCACGTCCTCGCCTCTTTCGCCGATACTATGTCAAGATCCCAAAAAGGAACTAAATAACACAGCAAGCAAGATTACTAATGAGAGTTCCATCTTCATTGCTTCTTTGCTGCAGTAAAACCTTTTGGGTGAGCGTAGCTAGGCAAGTAACAGGCAAACCCAAATACCCAAGCGATGCATCGACCATAGGGCTTGCTGCTGAAGCTCTTAATCACAAAAACAAAAGAAAAAGGAATTGCTCGCAACTATCAGTTTCTGGTGGACAGGAAAGACCGAAAGAGGGGTAGAGTAGAGTAGCTCCTCTGGTGGGTTGGTTATGTTGTGTTCGGCCGGCGAGATTCTCGAGGATGATTCTGCTTGAGGCGGCGAAGAAGGCGAGGACGTGGGTAATGAGGTGACCAAACGGTCACACATTTAGAGTTGACCGCCACGTAAGCAAAAGTTAACGAAGTTGAACGGAGAGTGACTAAACGTGAACGGTTTCAGTAACCGAAAGCACCACCAATGGATTTAAATATTTCGATTAATCAAACTTGAACCTTTTTTTTTGTAAAAACCATGCAATTAACCCCATGAATTGTTTTCTTTCATATAATATACAATATTTTCAAGATATACGAATCCCACTTAAAAGGAATTAGTATGTGCGTGGCCTAATAATATTTGTCGGATACTTTCTCTAGGAAATGCTTTTACAATCTCCAATCCTGTTAAATAAGACCGCGAACCTTCTACAATCATAATTCATAACATAATAACATACCCGCCCTCCCTATTCTCTCAACTTTCTACAGTTTGACACACAAACCTTAGCATTAATTCATCTTCACCCCCACTACTAATCACTATCTGGATTTAAGAATTTTCTCCGTCTTCATCTATTTTTTTCAAATTTCAAATTTTCAATATTGGAATTTTTTGAATAATTTAAACAACCAGGCTCACAAAAACTATACACCACGCGCTGAATAAATTTTGGGCACGGGGAAAGAGGAAGAATGGAAGATGAATGAAATTTGACAAACGGGGGCAGCACCTTGCTAACGGTGTCTCCACCCTACTCACGCCGTTGTACCAGAAAGGAAGCAAAATAAAAGAAAAGGAACTTGAAAAAGAAAAGTAAAAGCGAGTACGGAGGAAAATATCAATCATTTAAATACCCCATTCGGTCACCAAACCTGGAGCCTCGGCCATCTCAAACTTCAGGCTCGGACCCAGATTCGGCACTCACTCACTGGAAGGCAGAAAAAGGCCAGCCCATGAGAGGCTAGACTCTAGAGGGACGAATTAATGGAACCCCTTCAAAATAAGTGATAGAAAGAGAAAGAAAGAGAAAACACTCTCTCTCACACGGGAGAGTGCGAGCTTGCTGGCTGTTGTTGCTGAGCTGGAAAAAAAGGAGAGAAAAAAAGATAAAATAAAGAGAGATAATCTATCACGACAGTCTAGAGAGAGAAAGGAAGAGCGAAAGTGGTGGGAGATGGGACAGATCGAGAAGCCGAAGAAGAAAGGGAGGCCATCCAAGGCGGATCTAGCTCGCCGCTCCTCCTCCAATGCTTTCCTTCCTCCTTCGGGGCCACTGATTCGGAGCGACGCCGGAGCCTCTGCCGCCGGAATGTGAAGTACAACAACTTCATCGACTTCGACGATTACCTAGACGACTACGATGACTTCGACGAGCAGCAGGCGGAGGATGAGGATGAGCAGGAGGAAGTCACCGAGCCCGAGGATGAGGAGGAGGACGACGACGAGAGTGAGAGGAGGAAAGAGAAGAAGCTTGAGTTGGTGGTCAATCTGCACAACAAACACCAAAGCCATAGCCACAGCTACCCCAGCGCGGCAGGCCGGTGCATAGAGCTCACGCACGCGGAGGGGCCACCGCCGCCGCATCGTCGTTGTCTTTTGAGGATGGCGACGAGGATGGGGAGGGGAAGCCGTTGAAGAAATGGCGAATCAGCGGTGGCAGAGGAGGCGAGAGTGAAACTGAGGCAGACGGGAGTGAGGATAAAAATCTGGGAAACGACGATGAGGAAGATGATAATAACGACCAAGAGGTATATACCAAAGAACAGTCCTACCAGTTGAGAGCAATGAATGTGAGAAATAGGGTTTTTGGGGGATAAGAGAACTGAGAAGAGAAATAAAAGGAGTAGTCTATTGTCCACCTCTGCTCCAATGCTCAACGCAAATCGCTGGTGCAGAAATCTCTAATTGGTCCAGACTCCAGACTTGTATATTACAATACTGCTCCCTTCCCTCACCTCGTCTTCCCCATCCGCCTGCCGCACCATGTCGCATCACCCTCTGCTTTCCCTCACTCTCTTTTTCTGTGTCGGGGGAGGGGATAATAGTGGTTAGGGGGTCAACTGTCAAAAACGAAAAAAGAACTATAAATGTGTCTCTTGCCAACAGAATCTGATCATGCGCTCTCCCCCACAACTCTATCTCTTTCTCCCTGTCAGACTCGTGTGCTCCTGGAGCATACTATGCTCCATGTACTCATAGCAAGATATCTCTATCTAGACCATGAATTAAACAGAGTTTGGGGTATGATACTATACCCTAACCTCAAATGGATAAACCCCAGACCCCAATTTTCTAATCCCAAACCCAAAGTTCAATTTAAAAGAAAAGAAGAGTTGACCATTGAGATTGGCCAGAGCTAATCCATGTAAATCTAACGGTGAGATCATCTGAAGCATACCAGTCGTCTCCATATATATATATATGGCGAGTTCTACGATACCCCGGGTGAAATCCCAGGTACCGTATACCTTGAGTATGAAAACGCTATCCAGACCTTGAATTGACTGATCTTTCTGACATGATACTATACTCTGACCCTTGAAGATCAAAATCTAGGTCTTATTTCTCTAAATCTTATACTCTAAGATCAATTTAATTAGAAACAATAATCAACGGTTATGATTCGTCTAAATATAGGCAAAAAAAATGAATGCACAATTTTAGGGTTTATAGTTTATGATTTAGATAATTAGGACCTAGGGTTCACTCAATACGGGTTAGGGTATAGGATCATGCCCAAAAATCTTGCTAATTCGAGGTCTAGATAGCGTTTTCATACTCAAGGTATGCGGTACCCCGGATTTCACCCGGGGTACCGTAGAAGGCACCATATATATATATATCTTAATCCTCTCTGTCCCTTTCTCGTCGTTTCTCTCTCTATCTAATATGTTTGTCTGATTTACTCAGTTGTCTTTGTCTCTGTTCCCCGCCTTGCTACATTTCCTTGCTGCAGTCATTGTGGGTTCCTCTTCACTTTTGGTTGTTATTATGATAGGAAAAGGAAGCGGATGATAAAGGGTTGCCGGACTCGGTGCCAGGTTTGTTTGTCCTTCATTCTCCTGCTCGAGCCTGAGTGGACTTTAGATGGTTTGAGTTGCAATAGAGTTTTTCTTACCTCTGTTGGTTTTTGGGGCTTTGTATAGGGACACCCTCTGATCGCCTGGATTCTTATCCCTTGCCTGATAAGAAAGTGTTGTATTTGGTGCTGCACAAGCTTCAAAAGTAGGTTACCACAATTCGATTCTTTGTTTCCCTTGTCGGTCTCTGGCTTCTGTATATGTGAAGGGGGTGATGAGTTGATGATGGCTAATCATGGTTTTGTGTTCTACATTGTGGTAGGAAGGACACATGTGGCGTTTGCTCCGAACTGGTGGATCTTGAGGAGGTTTGTGATGTTTGCCAGTCTCAGTTGGCTAGTGGTTGGCATATTGATGGTAGAGAATTGGCCGAGATAACGTGTTAATGTGGCTGTTTTAGCTTCCAAATTATCTTGATGTGGTTGATCATCCGATGGATTTTGCCACAGTGCGGAAGAAGCTGGGAAATAGCTCGTACTCCACGTTGGAACAATTTGAGGTGTGTTCCTTACGTTCAATTCTGCTCTGCATGTACCAGTTGTTCTCTCATGAAACTCTGCTTCTAGTGTCAAAGTTGTAGCTGAGAAGCCTGAGATCAACAATAGCCTTTTATTTATTTCTGGGCGTTTTGCTACCTGAGTACTGGATCATTGTCAATTTGGAAGAAACTCAAGAAAGGTTTTGACAGGGTGTTGGGCCATGATCTTTTGGATTATACTAGTGTTATGGAATGGTTGCCTTTTGTTACCAGGTTTCTACCTTTCTGGAATTGGAAAGTTGGCGGCAGAAGGTCACAGAGATGCCTTTTGATAAGCGTAAAATGTGCAAGCCTTAGGACTTGGCTGTTGTTAGACTTACTGATACATATCGAGAATTATAGATAGAGAATAATGATGTCTTGTTTGATCCTTGCTCTGTCCACATACTAACATCATGGCTATTTTAGCCTTTTAGGGCATCGTTCTGCCGTTGATCATATTATCTTATTTGGAACATTCTTCTTTGCATCTAAGTTGCAATGGACTTTATTGCTAGTCTTTGTTGATTCTGATATGTGTTCGTGCAAAATATTGTTGAAGGTAGGAGGCTGGCATTTTGTTTTCTTGTGTCTCTTTCCTCGCAATTGGAGCAGTGACTTTAGTGATGCTCTTTCTTGTGTGGTTGTTGGAAGAGAGTCCTGGGATGAGAACATAATGTGCATGTTGCCTTATCTATAAGGCTTTAGACTCTTTAGCCAGTTTGTTGTGGGAATAATTTTCTATTTGTAGTTGCTGTATGGTTTTACTGAAGTGCTCTTCTAGTGTTATTGAGCTAAATTTTTTCTTATAAATAATTTGTCTGATTATGATACTCTGTTCTTCTGCAAATTTAAGTTATTGAGCGAAATTCTTTTAATTTTACCATAAGTTATATTGATTAGGAGAGATATATGACAGAAAGAAATTTTTTATACGTACTAATAAGGTTTTCTTTGACTGCAGAGTGACATACTTCTAATTTGCTCAAATGTAATGAAATATAATTCATCAGACACCATATATCATAAACAGGTAAAAAAGAATTCTATGACACTTCTTTGACGTCTCATGTCTAAATCTTGTGCTAATTCTGTTTCGTATTGTCTCCGAAAGGCACGTGGCATCCAAGAATTGGCTCAAAAGAAGTTTGAGAAGTTAAGGGTTGACATTGAACGCTCTGAGATAGAGCGTAAGTTTGAACAGAAAATGAAGTCCAACTTCTCGGCCAAGAAGCAAATGAAGAAGCCTTTGAGTAGGGCCACACTGGAACATGTGGGGTCTGATTTCTCTTCAGGTGCCACTCTTGCTAATGCCGGGGAGGTTCAGAATGGTCCCAATGGTGTTTTGAGTGGTGCCTGTGAGAGGCCTTGTAACATGGATGCTCTTGTAGAGGGCAGCTTGTCTCTGGTTGATAATACTAATCTAGAAAAACTTGAAGAACTATCATCAGGTCTGAAACTTGAATTGCTCTTTGCAGTTGCTAATTAAGGATATAGGTGTTTGTCACTTGACTGTTCTGTTTTTCTATTATGTTGATGATATTGCTTTCTAATTGCTTTGTCTCTGCTCTTCTACAGGGAAGGGCCCTTGGCCCAAGATGGGAAAGAGACTGTCTGTCCTGGATGACAACCGCCGTGCAATATATAACATATCCAGTCAATCAGTTGAAAGACCTGACACAATATTCACAACATTTGAGGATGAGCTCGAGCAGCTGGTTGCTGTATGTAACTAGGAACCTGCACCATTTTTACTTTAGTAGCTGGGAGATAATACTGATGTTTTCTTTCATTTTCTTCGATTAGGTGGGGCTTCATGCAGAATATTCCTAAGGAGCATGGCTCGCTTTGCTGCAACCCTCGGACCATTAGCTTGGAAAGTGGCATCTCACAGGATCGAGCAGGCTTTACCACCTGGGTTATGAGCCACTCACAACCCCAGTGCTTATGATTGAACCACGTGCTCCTAGAGACAATAAAGTCTTTTCCCCCAAGGTTAAAGCTCCTGTTGATGCATAACCCGGTCATGATGCAACTGAAGTGCCAGTTGCTCAACATCCACCAGCTAGAGGGTCTAGTTCACAAGGAGAGCACACAGTGCTCCGACCAACCAGCAGTGTGTCGGAAGTTAAAAACTCATTGTGTTCCTCTTCTGCAGCCAAGCCATTTGCCTCGATTAATGTCACTCACCCGCAACAAGCTATTTCTCCCTGGAACTGTGACGAGACTCGGAATAAGGCTCCCAAGCAGGTTGAACTGAATCTGCCTCCTTCAAACTATCAAAATAATGGTGAAGTTGGTGATGGAAAGCAACTTCCAAAGAGTTCATAAATGTCATCTTCAAAGGTGTGGGAAGTATCGTCAAGAACACAGAGTCCACAGCCAAGGTTAGTGCCAACAATAACAGAGAGCCAAAAGCCAAGGGATATGCCGCGAAGAACAGAAAGTCCAAAGCCAAAGGAAGTGCCGCCAAGAATAGAAAATCCAAAGACTAGGGAAGTTTCGAGGACAGAGGCTAGTATGCAGAAGTCCCTACCTAGTAAGCAGCTGGACAATTACACGCACGTTCTCCCGGCGTCCCGAATGAGAGAAACACTTACAGTAATTTGGTAAACAGTAGTAGATCAGGGACTGCATCATCTGATGGTTTTGGCCAAATGGGTTACATTGGAAGTAATCATATGGGCAGAGGAGGACCACACTATCCACCACAGGCACCAGGACTGGTTCTCACAGACCTAGTGGAGGCAATGAGAATATCAGCAGCTGAAAGGGCCCAAAAGCCTACTTCAGCTAGTCAGTCCTCAACTGCCGAGGCTCTACCAACTTCAAGGAGCAACTGCAGCAATGCAGCCACAACTGCTACCCGAGCATGGATGTCGATAGGCGCAGCAAGTGGAGGCTTCAAGGCCCCACCAGCGGAGAATTCTACTAGTAACACGAAAGGTCAGATTTCTGCAGAGTCACTGTACAACCCGACTTGGCAACTCCCTCCACAAATTCTCCAAGGGCAGTTTCCTATCCCAGCATCAGGGGTGCAGCAGCAGTTCCAGCAAGTTGAGAAGAACTTCCCATACCAAACTTTCATGAGACCACCAACTTTCCCTAGAGGAGGTGGAGGACAGGTGCAAGGCGGGAGACCAATGATGTTTTCTCCTCATTTAATAGCTACTGATTTATCTAGTTTGCAAATGATGTCCTCCCTATGGCGAGGACAAAGTGGGCCACCGTCTCAGTCCCAATATGCTACTAAGCAAAAGCAGGAGACACACAAGCTGCCACTGGATTTGAACATTGGTTTTCAGTCTCCAGGATCACCGGTGAAACAGTCATCAGGTGTCATGGTTGATTCACATCAACCTAACCTGCATTACAGCTTTGAAAAAATGGACAGCATTTGAACCGAGCTATTAAAACAATCCACCTGGGTTGAGACTTCGGCTGCATTTTGCAAGGTGGATTCCTTTGTACCTTTTCTCAAGAAGATCCATCCCACGGTGTTCATTAGCTAAAAGTTTGGCTCTCAGGAAGACAATATAAAATCTTTCAATCCATGGTGATGATGCAGAAGGGTTATGTGTACAAAAAGGTGGAGAGTTTTGTAGTTGCAACCGGAGGAAGTAATGTTGAGAAAGCACTTAGTTGGGAGTGAAAGGTACTGGTTTCTTTCCCATCTTTTCTCTGAAACAAAGTACATAGGTTTAGAAGTTTGATCCAAACGAGAGTTGGGCAGCTTAGCCAATCGAGAGGGTGAACCAGAATCGAATTGGAGTTAGGAATTGGGGGTTCATGTATTCATTATTGAGGAAGAAGAGTTAGAGAGACTTAGCAGCAGCAACAACTTAGGAATTTGCCTTGTATATTTGACACAGGTTGATGGTTCCTGGAGGGGATTGCTTAGTATTCAGATTTGTCTTCAAATTTATTTTTATCGTTGTGAATGTGATTTATTGCATTTGTAGAAGGCAACTCCTTCCTGAATGATTATTGCTCAATTCAAAATTTTGGAGCCTGCAAGTCCGCTTCCTTTTGGTCTAAGGAGGTTTTTGCATGGCTTTTCTGATGTTCTCTTGGATTGTGCCTCTCATGATTGACAACGGTTGGATGCATGCGGTGATAATTTTGTAATGCATGTAAATTGTGGAATGTATGAGCTTTATGGAAAGCTGATGGCAACTCTACGAAATTTAATGCACAATCTCATATATTGTTATTCATTTCACATCGATCTCAATTGAGGGCAGGGAAAAATTCAATAAAAAAATGTATTGAAATTCCGAAATCCAGTGTATAAGAGTTTGGAGAATCTACTGCTTGATGCTCAGACCCATGCACTTAAACAACCATCAAAGCATGGATAAAAGTTTGATCTAGTGGTACATGTACAACCCAAAAATAGCACAATGTCATTAAGTTCCCCATCTTTTTTGAAATTTGAACCAAAATCTCCACTATGTTTGGGACGATAAGAACATCTCTAATGAATATAAATAAACATGTACCTTCAAATTTCAATGAAGATACTCCCTATCACTATATGCTTGTTCATTACCGATTTCAAAATTAAATATAAACTCTCTGAATTTCTACAACTCTTGTCCCTTACTTGTTTATCAAATAAAGAACATTCTAAGTTTAGACAACTCACACGGTTTTCCTCAATACTTTGTTAATCACAATTATCTCTTCCATGGAAAATAAAAACTTTCCAAATTACGTTTTAGGGGATTTTATTTCCCTCACCTTGTGGAAAACCACGATAAATAAAATAAATAGATTTTCATCCCTCAAAACAAAAGCCCTTACTATGGCACCATAAGCAAAAATACAATAAGAGTAGACTTTAATTTGGGCATCATCGTGTTCCTCCCGGCAACATTTTTGCTCTCCCAAAGTTTGGTTTTTCAGGCAGAGCAGTTGCCCGGAGAAGAAAGCTCGAATAGGGGACATATTCCAATTTCACCCAAAAGTTCTTTCCTTTTTCTTTTTTCTATTACTCTATAGAAAATATCAACCGAAGGTGTCTAAAGTGGCAACACAATTCTAAATCATTGATAGCAAGGTTCAAACCGTTTGAAACTGTTGAGAAGTTGGCGCCTCGTCGCACCCATCTCCCTCTTTCTCTTTCCTCCGTAACTTCTCTCTATACCTTTCTGATTCCTCCACTCGTAACTTCTTGTGTGTCCCCAATCATCCTCCATCCTCCTCTGACATTCCCGGGTTCCTTCTCTTCCTCTTCCCAGCCGACGAGCAAATTCATCTGGGAAGGAAGAAAGTGCCCCACTTCCATTTCCACCTTAGAAAAGACAAGGACCCACCGAGGAGGAGGAAGAAGAAGAAGAAGAAGAAGAAGAAGAAGAAGAAATTTGGGTTTTGATGGAGTTATTGGGTACTCTTATTTTGCATGATATTGTTACCTTCAATGGGGTAAAGGTGCAATTCGTGGTTAAATTTAATAAGAAACCAGAACTCATTTTGTCCACGAATATGTGAAGGAAGACAAAATTGGAACAACGAAGTGTTGGAAGGTTTTCAAAATTCTTTTTTCTTTCTTGTTGGGTTGCATTAGGAACCCACCAAGAACAAAGGAAGATATATCATTGTTAGGTTGTGAAGTACTATCTTTCTACCTTTAGAATGATGTCAACAGGCAATGGTGACGGTGGGTCCTCTAGATCTACCACAAGTGGTAGTGGCGAAGGAGGAGGTAATAATAGAGGAGACAATAACACATATGTAAATGCGTTTGGGTTCGGTGATAATAGTGTTGCTCATTACCATCAACACCATCACAATCATAATAGAGGAGGAGGGAATGCGGTAGGAAATTCTACAAATGACGGGAGAGAGATTAACAACAATGTTGGTGGCGGTGGGAGGGAACGACCATTAAAGAAAGGACCTTGGACAGCGGAAGAAGATGCAATTTTACTTGAATATGTGAGGAAACACGGCGAAGGGAATTGGAACGCGGTGCAAAGGAATTCTGGACTTAACCGTTGTGGGAAGAGTTGTCGCCTTCGTTGGGCTAATCACCTTCGACCGAATCTCAAGAAGGGTTCTTTCACACCTGAAGAAGAAAGACTCATCATTGAGCTTCATGCAAAGATGGGGAACAAATGGGCTCGCATGGCCAACTTGGTTTGTCTTTCCATTTCTCATGCTCTTACTATGTTTTTCCTACTAATGCTTTGTTTTCCCATGTTCTTATTGTTCTATCATTTTCTTCTCACATGCATGGGGATGTATAGCTTCCAGGAAGAACAGACAATGAGATTAAGAACTACTGGAACACAAGAATCAAGAGGCACCAACGACAGGGTCTCCCTCTTTACCCTCCAAATATCCAAACTCAACAACAACAACCCTTCCAACATGATTTGCTTCACCATAACCAACCCCATCAATATATTCAACATAAGTCTTTCGACACACCGCCAAGTTCGATCAACACCTTCTCCTTCCTACCTTATCAACTCCCTTCCCCAACTGCAATAGCACCACCGAATCTTCATCCTTACCACCACCAAGCCTTTGCACCACACTCATCTGTCTCTCACAATGCCTTCCAAGCCTTGCCACTTTTCGACTACTCTCAACAACAACAACAACAACAACAACAACAACAACAACAAAGTTACCATCCAGACTCTACTCCCACAACCCCAAGTCAATCTCCATTCACTTTTCAAACTAAAAACCTAAAGCAAAATTATAATCATCCTTCCTCAGCTTCGACAACCCCAACCCATGTCTCCCCTCTTCCTTCTCCTTCAGTAGCTAATAATTCGTCCTCGGTTTCTTCTTCTCACCATCAACGCATCCCAACTCTAGCACTCCTTGACTTCTCCTTCCCGCGCCCCACTCCCATCCTCCAATCCCCTAATCGCTTCAAGCGATTTGCCTCTTGTGGTGACATTGCCAACTCTGCAGCAGTTGTAGTCGACCAGTCTAACAACCACAATAATAACAACAATGCTCATCCACATCATTTACCACCCTCATTAGCCAATCTATCAACAACTCCACCTCTTCCTCCTCATCCTATCATTTCTTCCAATAACGTTGCACATATGGGAAATTCTCATAACCTAAACCATCCCAATGTACTCTCTAGCCTACTCGATGGCAACAATAGTGAGTTCCATAAGGAGATACAGAAGGAGAATGAGGAGATGTGCTCACTTTTAGCTTCCATGTCTCACCATCCAGAGCTCCCTTCAAATCAACTTTTATCACAAAACTCTTTTGGGGTCAATTCTAGTACGAGTATAATCCCTCAAGGCCAGTTCACTAGAAGCATTGATATGAAAAATCGGGGAAATAACAAGAACAACAATAATATTATGATTAGCAAGGAGGAGGGTAAGAATGACATCTTGCTAGCAACACCGACTTCGAACAACACTGGTAATGCCTATGGAGGATTGTTGGAGGATCTTTGGCAAGAGGTCAATCCACATTTGATGATGCAGAGGGATAACTATGTGATGCAGAGGAATGATAATGTTCATGGCTACACCACAACCAACAAGAATGCCAACAATTTTTCCAACTATGGGGAACAACAGGGAGATAATGAGGAGTTAAGCAAGTTCCTGGAAGAGAGTGAGATGCGACAGACAGATAATCAATTTTGTGGAGAAAATGTCAGTGGTGGCAATAAGGATCATCAGACAACCTCCAATGACCCATCTTCAGTAGTGACAACAGAGGATCACACCAATTTTGATCTCCATCACATGTGTTCATTTCTTCCCACAACAACAACGACGACGACAACAGACCTGGATAGGCCTCCCCTGGAGACTTATTCATGGGACAACTTGCCAGAGATTTGTTAAGAAGTTAACTTCAAGAAGAGAGTTGGGGTTTGTAAGTAAGTCTTGTAATCGTGGTCATTCTTTTATCCTTTATACATTTTTATGAGAATTTTGCAAATTCGTTGGGGATGTAAGTTTCCTATAACTTGGGGAAGGGAACTCTCTTTTGTCTTGTGCTATTGTTGTAATGTAAGAGATCCCTATCGGGAATACCCAAATTTACTAACTAAATAATCCAAATTTCTCGCTATCTACGACACTAATGCAACATTTATTAAAAGTCACCTACACTTCAATACTTCTTTGTTGCAAGTTGAGGTAGGTGATTTTGTTGTTTAGGGTATATCTTGGTGAATTTCAGGTTATGATACCATAAAGGACGAGAACGTGAGCGTGTTGGTTCAAACAAGGACAAAATTAGGTACCGAATGTGCAATTAGTGTACTGAGAGCAACATCTCATTTCTTAAGAAGTAGCATATATTTTGAGAGCTCTTGATCTCTTTAGTTGAGGATTCACCGGAATCCGTGCACGACTTTAAGAGGTTGGAATAGCTTTGTTTGATGCGGAATTTCAAGGCAAATTCTACTCAAAAATAGGTTTCGTGTTTGTAATCTTGGTTTCCTCCATGACTATGAGTAGTTAAACCCTCTGTGTTGTTCGGATCGGTGGAAGTCTAGGTGATTTTAGGGTTCCCTACTTATTATCAATATAAATTGTTGTCGTATTTCATTTGAATGGTTCTCTTGTGTTTGCTTATCTCTATTATTATCTTAAAAAGCTAGCCCTATTATTATGAATCTGTAGGAAATGGATAATTGACTATAGATAGCTAGTTAGGTTCCTTGATCACCATACCAAACAACAATCAACCGATTGATTATTATTATAAGATATATTAGGATTGATCGATCATTTTATGCCGTATACAATTTGGAACTTAACTGCATAAGGGTTGCAATGATGGGGACATGAATGTAACCTACCTTAGGAATTATGATAGAGCAATGTTAACTAACTCAGCGCAACTTATTTAATCAAAATGAATAATCGGTTTTAATTAAACCTGATTAGTTTTGGTTTTTTGCCTCAACAAATAAGCGCTTGGGTCAAAATAATCCTACCGAATGGAGAGATTGTTGGCGAGGTGACAAAACCAAGAGCCTACATGTCGTCATGGTTGAGCTGAACTGCTGCTCCAGATATTGCCAACAAAGAAGCTTACCTGCCAATTTGATCAAGGCATTCATCCGAAAACCTTCTCTCTGTAAAGGTCTGCACTATGCTGTACTGTCCTGTCCTGTCCTATTCGATTCCTCAGTGAGCAGTTGATGCCTTGATGGGCCAAAACGAAAAGAAAAAACAATAAACTAGGGAGAAACAGAGGAGAAGGCAGGGGAGCTGCTTGCTTCCACTTTCCAGTAATATGGGATGGGCACTGCAATTAAATCCGTGCTTCTGGTTGGCAGTTGAATGGGTGAGGTAGGTGAGTGACATTTATGAACAACCCTTCCTTTCTTTACTGATCTTTACTCTTTTACAGTGATTGTCTTGTGTTGTAAAAGAAAAAACAGATTGATGAGGACCATAACCAGCCATAGGTATGATGAATGTTTACAAATGGCGTTGGCATGGCAGAGACCAACAAAAGGACAAATTTCTCAAAGTAAGAGAAGTTTAGCATTTTGTTCGGTGCTTTCTGTATCAAATTGATCAAGATCGGAACATCAGTGAGGGAAAAGTTTGCGACTTTCTAAATCTCTGTACTGAAACAAGCCAAAAAACTCACACCAAAGAACTCACATAATAACAATGGTAACTAATTCTATCTTAAACCATCCCAGAAGTGAAGGCTAAAGTTAAAATTAGGCAGCAGCTCTACTAGTAGTGTTATCTGCTGCTTCAACTTCCTTGGAAGGAGTTAGGGAAGGAGGTTCAAACAAGCTAAAGGCTCTGTAAGCAGAGATGACAGTGAAAGCAATGAAGCAGAAGAGAGCCAAAGCATGGAGAATCACGGCAAGCGTCATTCTGTTGCAGAAGCTGGGATAGGAGCGGCAGGCTTCGCTCCACGTCACTGTCCTGTCCCCGTAGTAAGCCAAGTACACTATCTCCGACACTCCAGCTCCAGATGTCACCATTAGGTATGTTATCATCTTCAACATCAGATTCCAAAAAAAACCCCAATCAGGTAAAAGAAAAGAAATCGATAGACAATGCAGAATCAGTGGAGGGAAAAAATGGGTACCTGGTCAAAGAGAAAGAAGAGCCAGGGTTTGGAGGCAGAGCATTTGACGAACCAAATGGACAGAGTAGCAACAAGTGAATAGGCAGCAGATATCCCACTGATCCAGGCCATGTAACTGAGGCCTTGGATGTTTTTGTAGGCAACAGGGCCTAAATCAGTGTTGTCTTGGTGGTTGGTGACATTGAGGCATAGGGTTGCAGCACTCAGGGGAATGGCTGCGAGTCTCAGAGATGAATCCACCAGCTTCAGCCTTGGAGCCATTTTGTCCGTCTTCTCTATTTACTCACTCACCTGAATGGATTTTGTTTTTAGTTTTGGAGATGACGATGGGAGAGGAAGAGAAGCAAGAACATAGAAGTTCAAGTATTTATAGTGGAGCTGTGAGAGTTAGAAGTGATGGACGAACTATGAAGAATATAGTGTGGGGAGGGATATGGCCTATGGGGTTGTTGTTGTTGGTAGTGGTGGTGGAATTTTTCTGAAAGTAGTGGGGGGAAGAAGTAATGGGTCTGTACTGTACTCAATAACCCTTTCTTTCTCTTCCTTCACAACCGTTCCCATGCTTCAATATTTTATCTATTTTCAGTTTTCGAATTTTGTTTTCCATTTTTTCTGTCATCTTGTGGAAAGTTTCAGTGTTGTTTGTGGAAAATTGATTAGCTTTGAGCAAGATGATGTGTTGTTGATTTCACACTGCTTTGATATTTGTTGGGTCTTGTGGTTTTCTACTTCATTTCTTTTCGTTTTCGTTCCTCTGTTTTTCCCCCCTTTCAATCTGTTGTACAGGTGTTGCTTTACCAAGTGAGCTAAGGTGGCATAGATCCCTTTGTTGTATGGCTCAGTTGGGTTTGTGTTTTGTGAGTGGGGTGGGATGGGATGGCTAGGAAGTTAGGAACAAGGAAAGTGCTGTTTATGACCCATCACCATCATTTACATATTTGTGTCATCCTTGCCTCATGCACAGGCTGCTCAAACACTCTGTTTTCATCACGGCTAAAGTCTAGTGGAGGATAACCTAACCCCCCTCGAGGACAAAGCATCCACAAACGGTCAGGTTATTGATCGTCTTCATGGTTGTTTAGCTTATTGGCTTATGTACGACAGACCCTACTCGAGTCTCTAAGTTGCGGCTAACTAATAACAGGATTAGGACGCCCCTTATCTTTAAAAAAAAAAAGTATTAAGCTTTGAAATATACTTGAATCTTGACTGAAAATGCTGAGGACGTTGTTTACTTGCCATGTGAAACTAGTAGCCTTATGCTATCTTTAGTACATGATAGTTCATCACATCTTATATGAATTCCAACGGCTCTAGTTAAAGCATGAGAACTGGGGACACAAGATGGGCCATTCACAGAGGCTAAAAAGATGGGCCATCTCAGGATAAACTGTGTGTATCATCATTCATCGTCAATCATGAAAAGGAAAAAAATGAGACTATGCTTTAGAAACAAAAGCTTATTTCTGGATTGGGAAAGCAAAAGATAACCTTGTGGCACTTATTAAGGTGTATACTTATGTCATGACATGGCAAAACTTGCAAACTGACCCCCCTTTCAACCATGTACAAAAAGAATCAAACAATTGCAGAGACTGTTACTTTCGCTCCTAACTGCTACTGGGTTTCTGTCCTTGCCTAAAATGGATCAGAACCCACTCAACTCTTCTCTTCATATCTGCGAAGAAACAAACACATCTCCCGTATCGGTCATATCCACATCCCATGGAGAGCATCGAGGGCTCACTTTTCATTTCTGGGTATTCCTCCTGAGTTAGGAAGAACAAGTTATGTGGCATTTTCAACGTTGTGCACTCCACAATGCATTTTCACCTTCCCTGCAACGTCGGTGGACCTCCTTCATCCTCTCAACAGATTTGCAGATTCCACTGCAAGTCCAATCAAAGGAGGCAACACACACATTCCCTGCCTGAGCCTTCCACTCGCAATCTGGGTAGAAGTATTGCGTTATGAGGGTTTTACGTTTACTTGCCATCAAGGTATGTGTACCATTTGCATAAAGTAGATGAAAAGACAGAAAATAGTAGGACTGAGGTTTTTTACCAGGTGGGGTGCCACAGCAAAGTCTCCTGTCATCGATATGCTCCACATCCAACCCTATCAACCATGACCCGAGCGAGACGTCTTCGTTTGTGTACTTGTGCAGTACATGCCTACAGAATCACATCTACTTGATGAACAAAGCTACCTAGGCTGACTAAGATTTTGTCTCTGAAGTTTCTTAAATGTCCTTGCTAAGGTTTAAAAGAAAAGAACTTACTGGTTGATTGATATATAAGTAGCCAAGTCATTTGAAAGGGCATATATTTGTCCGGTGGCATGACGGAAGTACTTGTTTCCTTCCTCACCGAATTTCCAGTACTCAGGTTCATGGTATTTCACTCCCCTGTTGAATCCAACAAAGTAAAAGAAATAATGTTACCACTGATCTCCCCATACATAGGTAAAGTGAACAGCAACTCAATTGATTCTCGGCATACTTTTGTGCGAGGACTGGGCCAGACTTCATACATCCTATGTAAACTCGGGGTTTTGACCGGTGACTGCTTAAAGTTGCTCCTAGTGTAGCTGCAACAGTATGTTGGGCAGACTTCAGTTAAGATGATAAAGCAAAGTGAAAAGTAAAGAAAACAGGACCAAGGCTGCCCAACAAAAGTTACCTATATTGACGTGGATATCATCGTCAACTTTAACATAGAACTCTGCATCCCACAAGGCAACTGCGGTGGTAAAGTATGTCTTTGTCTTCGCCGATAGTTCAAGGTAACCCTCAACATGCTCCTGCGCTCACAGAAAATGCACCATAATGAGTTAAGAAATTTACTATATAAGCATTGGAAGAGTGTTACAGAGAAGACGGAAGAAAAGAAAATTAAGGAGTAAGAACATTACCAATCTCAAGAAGTCACCATGCTTCCTGTCTTCTGCTTCAATGGCTCGGTCAAGGATCCCTCCAGCTGTCGCACTGAAATCAAAAGCCAAAGAACAGCGGAACATGCATCACATTTCATTTTGCAACACGGTTCGCAAGAAGCCTTATTTCATAGAAACTTAATGTATTATCAGATGTAGTTTCACAGTAAGGGAAGAACCAATAACTTGAAAAACTTGAGAAAAAGATATGTGAGCAATCAATTGAAGGAAGAAATAATGGGACAGCAAGGTAGGAGGTCTGTGGTACCACCTGTGACCTATGACAAAGCGCATTATGATGCCCTTCTCTTCTTCCAGCTTCTTCCTCTTATTACCTTTGAAAAACCCAGGGAGAAGTGAAATAATCAAATCAATAAATTAACATACAGTACCATAAAGGAAGTGTCAAAATAGTTGTTATCAGAATCCATTAAGCAGCTAACCTTGAGGCATCCAAGTTGCACGAACCGAATCTCTTCGTTTTCTGCTACTAAAAGCAGTGTTTATGCCTACAACCATCAAATACTTCCGTTTCCCAGATGATTCCGAGGCTTTCAAATTGTCTGATATCGGAGAACCATTGAGCATAGACTCCTGTTCAGCCCTTGCTGCGGCTAATTCCATCTCCAGGCTAGAAATCGTCTTATCGAGAGTTCTGTTTGGAGGGGAAACATGTGGTTGGTTATTATCCACTACCATCTAAGAAATTACGAACCATAAGACCTTAAAATAGAGGGCTTACTGTATTGCATGGTGTGTCTTTGAAACTTCCCCCATTACGTCCTTGGAATCATGATTTACATCCTTCTGAAGTGGAAAGGAAAACAGAAAATTCCAAATTACTGAGCATACAGCCATATGTATGCAATCTCCAATATGACAAACATGCACAACATCTTCATTTATATTGGATATAAGCTCACATTTTGAGGGGCACATCCTTCTGCAACGAAATTGAGTTTCCCATCTTCAACCATCTTTCTACCCGGCATGTCATTAGCTTCCGGCACAGACCACATTCTGCTGCCAAGAGACTAATTAGCAAACTACTCATTTCCAGAATAAGAAATTTCAAGTGGAATGTTGCTTTCAACTGCTATCTTTCAAGTGAAGTTTTACTGGCAAAATGTAAATGGAAGAATGCATCATGCCAACCGCCTAGCACATTGCTTGTAGGGAAATACCAAGGAAGTTAAAGCCTCACTTTTTCGAACAACAATAATAGAATAAGTCAAAAGAAATGGCAGAAAAGACGTCAAGCCAAAATTGGCACCTTGAATCATGTGTTCATAATAACTCAAATCCAAGCAATGAGATTACTTGAGTTGCGCATGTAAAAAGGTGAACTTCAGATCTCAATTCTAACCAAACTGTAGAAAATGGAAACCAGAACCCTGAAATGATTACAAATGAATAAAGAAAGATTTCACCAGCCATCATAGTTGAATCATATCCAATTTCTTTTTAAAAAACTGCAGGCGTCTGACGGTTAATTGTTTCCCGAAGTCAAAACAAATGCAATGATCAAGAAGAAGTAAAGAAAGCTGCAACTGAGGAGACCAAATTTAGAAACGAAAACATGATTCAAAACTTGTGAGATGCCAAATTCAGAAGTAGCTGTAGCAGTAAGCTTCAATTCCAAAGGAAGAAAAAAACTTTACCTATCCGAGAAGAGCATCCCTGTGCAGAAACAGCCAATACAAAGGAGCAGAGTCCATTTCCTTGACACCACACTCTTCGAATTCTGCTCGAACCCTCTGTTCTTCCAACTCATGGTTTGCTTCTAAAATTCCGAAACTTTGCAAGGCCAAAAAAAATTCGCTAAGCTTCAGATTGAGAAGGAACTCATGGCATCCAAGTCGTCACTGACCCGAATGTTGACTGAGTTGACCCGGACTGAGATCCAAAGATTCCTCCTTTACTTGGAAACTCAATTACCCAGATGAAATCTCGAAACCAGAACTGCAGCCCTCTAGATTCAGGAAAACGAAGATTCAACCCAGTAGAGAAAAACGGAAACTTATGCAGAGATGGGTGGCGGGTGCTCTCCCTCCCTCTCTCTCTCTCTCTCTCTCTCTCTCTCTCTCTCTCGCTGCAACAGAGAGAAAAAAACTGTTTGGTTGCGTCTCTTAGAGTTCAATGCTCTTGTCGGACTGTCGGTGCGCGAGATTTGATTTGATGATAGGAGTAGCACAGAGAGGGGGGAGGAAGAAACACGATGCTGACGGTGGTGGTGGAGGGAGAGAAGAAGGGAGGGAAAGAGAAGAAAATTGTCGCTTTGTGATTGTGAGGGAAAAGAAAAATAGAAAATAGAAAAGGGGTTTCAGTTTTCCTCCCGGTTCTTTTTTTAATATGTTTTTTTAGCACTATACTTAGAGGTGTCAATAGGGCGTGTTCGGGCTGGGTTCATTCGGATTGCGGGTTGGTCGGTTTGCGGGTCGATCAGGTTGCGGGTTCATCGAGTTCGAGTTGATTGGGTTGCGGGTTACTCGGGTTATGGGTCACTCGGGTTGCGGGGCCAATCGGGCTGCGGGCCAATCGGGTTACGGGTCAATCGGGTGCGGGTTAATCGGGTTGCGGGTCGGGCGGTTCGGGTTGCGGGTTTTACGGACCAGAACATGGCGTTAGTTTTTAGTGATTACTAGTAAGTCGTAAATCGTAACTATATGAAGCTAGCACAATAAGATTAGTGTCAATAAAACAAATATCAACACAATTGAAAATAATCTTTCTTGTAGCATGAACACCAACCAAATTGAAATCATCTAGAATTATCCAAATCATCATGCTGATACAAGATTTCTAAACTAGCTTAAATACCAATAAACTCTCAAATCTTCAAGACCAATCAAATCATCATGCTGAATTGAGGATAGGTACAGGGAAGGGAGAAAGAGAGAGAGAAAGAGCGAGCGTGTTTTTGGAATTTGGAGGCTTGAGGGCCAAAAAATTTTAGAGCTAAGGTTTGTCCTTTTTTGCGCTTTGTGGCCAAATTTTTTGATAAGAGGCAGCTATTTTGCCGCTGGAGCAAATAAAAACTTGGAGCCAATTCTACCAAAAATGAAAATTTTGGAGCCACATACCAAAGAATATTTGGAACCAAAGTCTCTTTTGCGCTTGGCGGCCCAAATTTTAGAAAAGAGGCGGTTACATTGCCGTTGTAGCAAATGAAAATTTGGAGTCAATTCTACCAAATATGAAAATTTTGGAATCAAAATACATCTTAAGCAAAAAGAATTTATCCCTCATAAAATTGAAAGAAATAATTTATAAAGAAATTCTTATAAGTTCACGCGAATTACCGTGACTAAGTATTAATCACGGGAAATGAAGACTAAAAAACTGATAAATAATTCCCCGTGATTAGAAACATACAACTAAATACATTACATTTTTCCGTGGTTATTAATGTACTTTCTAATACGGGAAAAATTATTGTGAATAGGATACCGTGTTTATAAACCTGTTTTCCTGTAGTGCAATATGAACTATTATGAGTCATGTATTCTTGTTATGATCAGACTTTTGTGAACTATTATTAGTCTTTTTTATGACAGGACCATGATATTTGGATTTTAAATCTTATAATTATCTTATTATGCTAAATTAATATTTTATAATGTTATGTGCACTATTAGGTTGATGATGTATCTAAATAAACATTTGATGATATTATATGCGTTAATAGGTTGATGATATATATTATTATACTAAGTCAATAATTGATGATGTAATGATCAGACTTTAGTGAACTAGAATTTCAAATGTCAACTTTTGGTTTATCTTCATCGAATTCCTTCTATTATAGTCGGGCTGCGGGTTGGTTAGGTTACGAGTTCGGGTTAGTTGGGTTGCGGGTTGGTCAGGTTGCGAGTTAATCGGGTTGCGGGTCGATCGGGTTGCGGGTTGGTCGGGTTGCAGGTCGACTGGATTGCAGGTCTGGCGGGTTACTGGTCATTGACTTATAGTTAAATCAGGTTGCGGGCAGGTTACGGGTCGGGTTGATCGGGTGGATTACTCGGGTTGTTTACATTTTGACAGCTCTAACTATACTACAGTAGAATCACAAATCAGCCTCCAGATTATAAACTTTCTAGTTTGGAGCCTCTTCTATATTGTTTGTTCTTTTCAAAGCTCTCTTAATTGGTTTTTGTTTCCAACACCTCTTGATACTTGATAGTTGAAAGCAATTTCTTCATACTAACATGATATTAGTGCCTTTAATCAAATGATCGTTGAAACTTCAAGTCAATAGATTCATCAAATTACATCTGAAGGCTGCAACTAGAATTTGTTTTAAGGTATCGTTGCTCCTTTTTTTTCACAAAATAAATGTTACAGATTTGGAACATTGTACGTTAAAGAAAGAAAGAAAGGTGTAGTGTCATAATTGATCGAGAACTCTGTCCAGTCCCTGTCTCTCAAACCCCCAACTCAGCACCACATTAGAGTTGTCCTGGCCTTGCTAGGTGCCATAACTGATAACACACATGCATGAGCCACGTCCCAAACGAATAACTCCAATGATCAAGCAATGCTAATTATGTTGCGGCTCACCATGTCGGGGACCACCGTTGCTACTCCGCGCGTTTTGTGACTATTGGGCCTCCGCAAATGCGGTTTGAGTTCAAGTCCTTAATACTCATTTCTTAAGAAGAATCTTAAAGTCTTTTTATTGGCTAATAGTGGATTAGGTAGTTAATGGGATTAGTAGTTAATAGGTAGTTAAGGATAAATGGGGTTATGCAAATTTAATTAATATTACTAATTAATGATTCTCTTTCGCTCTCCTCCCATAATTTTTTCATAAACCTCTCTCTACATTATAATTAAAAATAAATATAAAATTAATTTTTATTTATTTAATATTTAATAAAATCCGAATTTAATAATTTTCCCTTTTTTAAATGGAAATTTAAACAATAGAATCTGGGTTAGCTCTCTCTTCTCTTTTCTTTCTCTCTCTAGCCTTGGTTTTCTGATATGTTCTCCGACGTCGGGACCATGCCCGTCCCGGTCGCTGACGGAAACCCGAATGATTGGGCTCAGCTGTTCGGAGTCGAGGATGGTAGCCGCCTAAGGTTTTTCCAACCGGAGGTTGCTGCTGGAGCTCTGATTCTTCCACGAGTGCTGCGAGATGCTGGGGCGGTGCGATGGAGGGAATCGCTTGTCGACCAATTTCTCTCCAATCCTCCTCCGTTCCAGGCAATTCAAACATGGGCGACTCGCCTCTGGGGTAGTGAAGGTGTGATTCAGGTCTCAAAGCATGGTGAGGACATGTATTTATTCCAGTTTCCTGACCTAGCTACTAGCACTTGGGTATTTGAGGGCGGACCCTGGCACTGTCAAAATGTCCTGTTATTCTTGCGTCGCTGGACGCCGGGAATTCAACCTCTTGATTTCTAGTTATCTTTATTGCCGATTTGGGTAAGAATACGGGGTATTCCGCTGGAATATCACACTGTAGAAGGTCTTAGTCGTATCACAAGTGTTCTTGGTGTTCCTTTGTGGATGGACTAGGCCACTAGGTTGGGTAAGAATGTAGGGGTAGCTAAGCTCTACATTGATTTGAAGATGGACTGTAGGTTTCAAGAGGTGATAAGGGTTCAGCCTTAGGGGGATAGGGTCTTTGATTTGACTGTTGAGTACTTATGGTTGCCACCGAGATGCTCGCAATGCCATGTTTATGGTCATGAGGATGGGCAGGGTGCTGAGTGTTGTGTCGAGGCACCATCAAAATGGACTCCTAAACATGGCTATAAGTAGGTTAGTGATGAGCAGGTTGCTGTGGTTGTTGACCAGTCCAAGGTTGTTGTTCCGATTCCATAGATTATTACTCCTGTATCTCCTCTTATTGCCGTTCTAACGGATAGGGTGGCTTCTTCTGGTGGATTCCGTCTAGTCCATAAGGAGCTCCAGCTGGGTTCATGTGTTGCTTCTACTAGTGGCACAAAAGAGAATGAAGATGCTCCTCAAATATGGGAGGAAGTGGAGGATGATATTGACAAGTTGGTGGCTAGTATTGAAGATTATAGTGGGAAAAGTGTTGCTGGTAAGAAGAGTGGGATGAAGTTAGTTGTGGTTGCCAAAGCTCCTGCACCTTCCAAGAAGGGAAGGGGGCGTGGTAAGCGTCGATGATTTTCTTATCGTGGAACATCAAGGGATTTAACACCCCTGAGAAGCAAAGGTATGTATATAGTAAGCTAAATAAGTATAGAGTAGATTTGGTAGCTATATTAGAAACCAGAGTTTCTCAGAAGAATTCTGGTGCTATAATAAATGGTCAATTTAGTAGCTGGGAGCATATGGATGATTATGGTAAGTCTAATTCTGGAAGGGTCTGGTTGTTCTGGAGGAATGGACTGAAGGTCACACTCATTGAGTCTAGAGAGCACTTTCTCCATGTGAGGGTGGTAGCTGGTATGGAGGAAGTTATAGTTACAACAGGTTTACAGTCCAAACAAAACTATACAGAGGCAGCAGTTGTATGCTGAGTTGGTTAAGTGTAAGACTAGTCAATCCCCATGGGTGGTATTGGATGATTTCAATGCAATTGCAGAGGTAAATGAGGCGTCTAACTCTGTTGCAGTAACTCAGAGTATGGTGGACTTTCGGAAATGGATTGAAGATATGCAGTTGGTTGACCACAAGGTCTCAGGATCATGGTACACCTGGTGGAATAAGCAAGCTCACAATCCAATTGCCAGGCGTATTGACAGAGTGTTGGTAAATGATCTGTGGTTTGATAGCTTCAAAACCAGTTCTGCTTGTACCATCAGCCCTGGGGTTTCTAATCATTGTGGACTTCTCATTGACACCTCTACCCAGCTGAGAAGTCTGCCGAAACCTTTCAAGTATTTTAAGTTCTGGCGTTCTCATCCTCAGTATCAGGAGATCTTGGAGGAGGCATGGGATGATATTGCTAGGCCATCCCCGTTTCAGACTGTTCTAAGGAAAATGAGAAGGTTGCAGAAGGGACGGACCAGTCTTAACAGGACTTATTACTCTGATATTTCAGGTCGTACTCGTGAAGCTGAAGCTAATCTAGTGGAAGCGCAGGAACTTGTCCTATCTGACCCTAGTTCTGAGAATATTTCACGTGAAGTGGAGCTATCGCTAAGGTGTTCTGAGTTGCAATTGGCTGATGAGTCTTTCTGCAGGCAGAAATCAAGGATTGGTTGGGTTAATGAAGGGGATGGCAATACGGGTTTTTTCCACAAATATGTCAAAATAAGGAATAAGAAGTTAACCATTGATCATCTGGTTACTGATGAGGGTCAATG